TTTTTTGAAAAATATTAATCAATTTATTAAAAAAATGTTATTTCTTATGATATTTTAGTAGTCCTTAAACATATCAATAATTTAAAAAAAAAAATGAACACAAAATGTTTAGTAGATCACAATTGTGATCAACATAATTCTTATAACTTAAGTTATTAGAGTTGTCAAAACTTTTCACACCCACTCTGTATATACACACAAAAAATGGATAGTATTTTAACCTCAAAAGAAGTTGTATTCATACACAAAAGCACATATTATCACATAAGACAAATGGAGTGTCACTTTTAATTATGCTTACGGGGTTAAAATAACACTAGTTTAGTGTCAATGTGACTAGCAAGTTTCTCGTTTTGAGAACATTGGTTGTAGTTAAAGTTGCATTCAAATTAATCTAACCTGTAAGAATTTAAACTAAGAGACTTTGTATTTTTATTATAACTTTTTATATTTTTTATTTTGAAATTTATCAATTACTATCAATAACTGTCTAATATAATTGGTTTTAGTTAAAAAAACTCCAATTTTCTTGTGTGTACTTCTAAACGTATAATCCCGCTATAGCAGTTAATTCACTAAAATCAGGATAAATGCTACACTTTTTTTTGGAAAGGGTAGCATCCTTCCTTTTTATATACGTAATAAATTGACTTGAAAAGTTGCAAAAATTCTTCCTGAAAATATTTATAATTAACGCTTAAATAATTTTTATAATTTTCTTTTTGTAAAATTTGAGTTAAACGGGATAATTATCCTCTTACTATATGATTATACAGTTTTACCTAAAATGTAGACAAAATTATTGAAAAAAAAAAAATTATATTAATTTGGTAATTTTTAAAAAAGTTATGGCAATTTTAAGAAAAAAATGTCGAAAATGATTGATTTTTTAAATTGTAATTTTTTTGGGAAATTCCCCCGTTTACGGGGAACAAGGGAATTTTTTTCAATTTTTGAGGATAATGTCTTCGACTAGATACGATTTGTGATCTTTTGACGTATCGTTGAAAGAAATCCGTTCGGTGAGAGCTGAGAAAAAGTGGTAACAGACGCCCTTTGCCGCCGGAGTTCGCAACAGGCCCGATTTCCGGCGGCACCTTGTCCTCTGGACGGCAGAGGGTATCCAGCAGTGCACTCTGCATGTCGCCCTCCTCCGTCCATTCCTCCACGTCCAGGAGCATGACGGGCACTGTCATAACCGGACGGTGGACGCGCACGTCATGCTCCTTCAGGGCGCTCTTCAGGCTGTCAGCTAGGCTGTCAGCCTGGGCGCCCGATCCCCGGACTTCTCGAGCCCCTGACCTCATGCCTGCGGGCTAGGAGGCTCGGGCGGCCGCGGGGAGATCGTGGCCGGGGATTTCAACGCCCACTCCCCGGTCTGGGGGTCGGCGGACACGAATCAGCGTGGCGAAGACCTGTTGGTCCTGATGTCGGCCCTCGGGCTGGTCTCGGCCAACAGGGGCTCCACCTCGACGTTCGAGGGTCACTCTTCGAGCTCGGTGGTGGACGTCACGCTGGTGTCCCCGTCGTTACACTCGCACGTGTCCGGCTGGTCGGTTCTCCCGCACATGGAAAACCTCAGCGACCACCGGTACATCGTGTACGAGTCCGGCGATGGCGGCCGTCCCCCCCAAATCTTGCCCAGCGTGCAGTCTCGCGGTGGGCGAGTGGGCTGGCGGGTCGGACTGGCCACGGACGTCGGCGTATTCGAAACGGGCTTACTGCTTGCTCAATGGTCGGCGCCCGCGGTACCGGACTGACACGTCTCCGCGAACGAAGCGGCGGAAGAGTTGGACCGGAGGGTGGTCGCAGCCTGCGAATTCGCCCTTCCGGCCAAACGACCGCCGTCGACTCGCGGACCGCCAGTCCACTGGTGGATCGTCGAGGTGGCGGCCAGGCGTGAGGAGTGCGTCAGGGTCAGGAGGGCAATGACGCGCTCCAACCGTTGGCCGCGGGACCCGGAATCCCCGGACCCGAGGGAGGCGCTGAGGTCGGCCTGCAAAGAACTGAAGCTCGCCATCAGGCGGGCCAAAGCGAAGTGCTGGGCCGAACTCGTGAAGTCGGTTGACCACGACCCGTGGGGGAAACCCTATCGGGTCGTTATGCGGAAGCTCCGCGGTCCACCGGCTTCCGGTCAGCTGGAAGCAGAAGTGTTGGAAAGGGCGGTAGACACGCTCTTTCCGACACATCCGCCCATGCCTCCCCTGGCATTCGGGGACGACGTGTCGGTGGTGGAATTCACCACCCGAGAGGTGGCTGACGCGGTGGCGCGTGTGCGGGGCCGGAACACAGCTCCCGGCCCCGATGCGATTCCAAACCGGGTGTGGGGGTTGGTCCACGACCTCGCCCCGGATTGGATACGCGCCGTCGTGAACCGCTGCCTCTCGGTGGGTGAATTCCCCACGAAGTGGAAGAAGGTCAGGCTGGTGCTTCTGAGGAAGGGTGACAAGCCCGAGGGTCTCCCCTCGTCGTACCGACCGCTTTGCATGTTGGACGTCTTGGGGAAGATCCTCGAGCGGCTGCTCATCACCCGGATCGAAGCCCACCTGGCCGACGTCAGCGGACTGGTCGATGGCCAGTTCGGCTTCCGGAGAGGAAGGTCGACGGACGACGCGGCCTCCCTCTTCAGAGATTTGGCCCTCAGGGCCAAAACTGAGTAGGGTTTCGGGGTGGTGGTGAGCTTGGACATCCNGGGTTTCGGGGTGGCGGTGAGCTTGGACATCCGAAACGCGTTCAACTCCGTGCGATGGTCACACATCCTAGGAGCGCTGGACGCGTTTCGGGTGCCTCCTTACCTCGGGCGGATGATCCGGTCGTACTTTAGCGATCGGGTCATCTCTTACGAGAGCGCCGCGGGCCCGAGAATCCGACCTGTTACGGGAGGCGTCCCGCAAGGGTCAGTTCTCGGGCCTTTGCTGTGGAACATCGCGTACGACGCGGTGTTCCGCGTTCCGCTACCACCGCACGTGCGTGTCGTCTGCTACGCGGACGACACGCTGGTGGTGGCGGAAGGCGCCTCGTCCGAGGAGGCTGGATCCCGGGCAAACTGCGCGCTCAGCGCAGTCTCCGCCTGGATCCAGCAGGAGGGGAGTGGACTTAGCCTCGCCCTGGACAAGACCGAAGCGGTCTTGTTCACGGGCAGGTACAAGTTTACTCCTCCACGGCTCGCCGTGCTGGGGGTGGAGATCCCGCTTAAGGACTCCATGACTTATCTGGGCCTCGTCATAGACAAACGTCTAAAGTTCGGGCCGCACATTACTCGTGCGGCCCAACGGGCCCAGAAAGTCATGAATTGCCTGGCGGGAATCATGCCCAATCTGGGAGGGCCGAGAGAGATGCGGCGCAGACTTTTAGTCAGCGTCGTACACTCGGTCCTCCTGTACGGGTCCCCGGTTTGGGCGGATACTCTTGAGTATTCGTCCAAAAACCGTGAAGCCCTGCTCAGGGTGCAGAGGCGGGCGGCGATCCGGACTGTTTCGGCGTACCGAACGGTGTCCGGAGTGGCGGCGGGTATCCTGTCGTCACTGCCGCCCGCCGACCTGCTCGCCGAGGAACGCGCCGCCGGGCATGAGCTCCGCCGAGAGCGAAACCGGTCCCTCGAACCCGAGGACCGGCTAGCGCTCAGGCGGATGACCATGTTCCGGTGGCGGACTCGCCTCTCGGAGGAAACGAGAGGCGAGTGGACCAGGTCCCTCATAGGACCCGATCGGCTGGACAGGTGGGTGGACCGGACTCACGGTGAGATGACTTATCGTCTCACCCAAGTGATGTCCGGCCACGGCTGCTTTAACGAGTACTTACACCGTATTCGTAAAGCAGCCGCGCCGACGTGCGACCACTGTTCGGATCGCCCGGGAGAGGCTGATAGCGCTTTGCACACCCTCTTCCGGTGCGAGGCGTGGGCCCAGGAACGGGACTCTTTGGAGTCTCGACTAGGGTCCACGTTCCGAGTCGGGTCCATGGTGGACCTGATGTTGAGGAGCCGGGAGGCGTGGAGGCTCGTCCAGGCGTTCGCTGAATCCATCTTGAAAAAGAAGGAGGAAGCTGAACGCCTGAGACAAAGGCAGCCGCGCCGCCCGGTACAGGAGGACTTAAGGAGCTGGTTAAGGCCGGCGCCTTAGGTATTTTGTGTTTAATGTTATGTGTTGTGAGTTATTTTTGCCCCCCTCGCACTGAACGAGGGAGGCCACACCACGTTGTGAATCAGCCCTTGATTAATTTCGGGGTGATTCACAACGTGGTGGTGTGAGTTTTAAAGACGGCGTAGGCCGGTCGTGTAAAAAAAAAAAAAAAAAAAGGGTAATGTCTTTAACTATATTTGATTTGTGATCTTTTGATGAATCGTTCAGTAAAATTGCTCTAGTAAGAGCTAAAAAATGTAACGACAACATAAAAATTAAATAAATAAACACATTATTGTAAAATAATACCTTTTCAGCTTTACATCGAAGCTAAAAGTTACATGAGTTTTTGAAATATGGAAGAAGTATCAGGAATTAAATGCATTATTAAAAAAACCTTAAACAATTCATTCATAATACCGATATTATAGGAATAACAATAAACACTGTAAAATAAACAATTCTGCTGTATGCAGACTTTATATTTACTTATGTAGCATGATCATAGAATAATATTGTTTATTCCAAATCAGTGAAACATCACAGGTTTGGAAAATTTGAAGATTGAAATATTTTAAAAACATTTTTTAAAAATAACGTTAAAACAACAGATTAGATAAAGATATCTTATCTGCGGTTTTTATATTAAAATAAGCGTATCTACATAAATAAATAAATTTATTGAATCAATGTAATCAATCAACTTTCTTTTTTACTCTTCTTTAAACTATTTTTCGCCAAAACTATAGAATAAACATTTATTGCCCTGATTTAAATTATATTTTGATAAAGCAAATATTTATAGTGGATGCACTGTTGTCGTGACTAACGATAATTTTGTTATCAGTCAGTGATATTGTCATATCTAAATAACGGGTGACGAGCACATTTAATAAAATCTTATTATTGTTGAACTTTTGTGCTTGTTCTTTGTAATAACTTTATTATATTTATTAGTTTAAACTTTGTGTTATAAAACATCTAGTCTCTATTTTTGCTTTTCTAATTTATAAATAAAATTATATCATATTTTTTTAAATATGCCTTTTTTTAAGGGTAAGAACCTTATAATTAAATAAATTGTTTTTTTCTTTAATTTTTATTTTTTTAATAGTTAAAGTTAAATGGGGAAAGGAAGTATATCCAGATGTGGAAGTTAATACAGAGGAACCTCCTCTTGTTTTCAAGGCACAGTTATTTGCTCTAACTGGTGTAAATCCAGTCCGACAAAAAGTTATGATGAAAGGAGGGACCCTTAAAAATGATACTTGGGGAAACATTCAAATAACAGATGGTCAAACCATATTAATGATGGGCAGTAAAGATGAAGATGTGCCTATAGAGCCAACTGTTAAACCTATGTTTGTTGAGGATATGACTGAAACACAATTGGCATCTGTTGTATGATAATAATCCATTTAAAATAAAAACTAAAAAATTTGCGTTTTTAGTTTTTAATTTGATTAATTTTCAATATTTTAAATAATTAATACTAACATATATTTTGTATAAAATATTTTTAAGTCTAATATGCCTGCTGGTTTGGCTAATTTGGGAAATACATGCTACTTAAATGCCACTGTTCAATGTTTGAAGACTGTTCCAGAATTAAGGCTAGCATTAAAAGATTTTAATATAACTCGTAAGTTTTAAGTATAAAGATAATTAATCCTGAATAATTTGTCTAAAAAGAACTATTTTATTTACAGCTCAGTCATCATTATCAAATTTTGCATTTGCCGAAAAAATTACTATAGCATTAAGTGATTTGTATAAATCTATGGAAAAAAATCAAACTATTCCACCTATTGTTTTATTACAAGTATTGCATCAAGCTTTTCCAAGATTTGCTGACAAAGTAGAAGGACATTATATGCAACAGGTATTTAACTATTTTATTATTGTATAGCTATAGTTGACCTTTTTCAATTTTAAATCTTAATAGTCTGATAACTTGAAATAAAATTGGCTGTCTGGGATATTTTGAATAAAAGTTCACTAATTTTCCAATTTTATGTTCTTGAAAAATTAGGCACTTCAGAATTAATATTGTAAATAGCCTACTCAAGCCCATTTTATGGTATATTTTTAAAATTTGATATTAACATATATTTGATTTCAGGATGCAAATGAATGTTGGGTTGAACTTGTACGTATGCTTCAGCAAAAATTACCACCATTGAAATGTAAAACTAATGAAAACCAAGTTATAAGTTATAAGTAAGTATAAGTAATTATTAATATTTTTTTCTATTTATTATGATGAAATATTCAATACATGTTGTTATTTTTATATTTTGAGTTAGATTTTATATAATATTTAAATAATATTATTCAATCTATATATTGAGTGTCATATTTTTAATGGAAACTATTTTCATGAATATTATTATTAACAGCCTATTACTGTTCTGTTTAGAAATGTTATTGATCAATTTTTTGGAGGAACTTTCAGTGTAGAGTGGAAGTGCACAGAAAGTGATACTGAAGAAATATCGAAGACTTCAGAATCTTTTCTACAATTAAGTTGTTTTATTTCACAAGATGTCAAATACATGCATTCTGGATTAAAAAATGTATTAATTGGTTTAAAAATTCAGTTATTCTTTAAAAAGTAGTTTTATTCATAAATATTGAACTAGTTTGTTATTATTTTTTTATTGTTAAGAAAGTTAGTAATATACAACAAGTTACATCTCATAAATCATACATCAAACCAATCTTATATTTGATGACAATATTTTTTTTTATATATGTTGAAATATCCAATAGTATACAAAAATTTTAATTTTAAAACACTATTGACTTGAATAAAATGAAGTTACATTTATAAGTAACTGACAAGATTTTTTATATTATAGTCTGTACATTTTTTATAATTTTTAGAGAATGCAAGAACACATAACTAAACATTCTCCTGTCCTTGGAAAAGATGCAGTGTATACAAAAACGGTTAGTTTTAAATTTCTTAGTTAATATTAAAATTTTTTCTCATCTTTCCTTAATGTATTTCTGTTTGATTTATGATTTTAGTCAAAAATTAATAGACTTCCAGCATATCTTACTATTCAGTTTGTCAGATTTTTCTACAAAGAAAAGGATAGAATTAATGCAAAAATATTAAAAGATATTAAATTTCCTATTGATTTTGATGCTTTTGATTTATGTACTCCAGAATTACAAGAAAAACTGGTACCCATAAGAAGTAAATTCAAAGTAAGTGAGATATGTACCTAAATGATAAAATGTAAAAAATTTGTCATTTTAAAATGAAAAAAACAAAATAGTTGATTTTCAAGGAGACAGCAAAAAAAAAAAAAAAAATAATGCTGACTGTTCTATAAAACTTATAATTTTTAATAGTACTGTATATAATAGTTCTTAATAAATAACTTAATCAAATCTTAATCAATCCGTTTCATTTGAATTTACTGATACAATTCGGTTTTGAGATACAATATGGTTGCAAAATACAATCCAGATTCAATGCACAAAATAAATTCAAAGTACATGTAATATTATTAATTAAAATAATATCTATCAAATAATATTAACTAGATTGGTTACATGATAAAAATTAATAATACAATTATTTTTGATCCGGATTGATCATTGAACTCAGATAAGATACTTAATCCGGATTACAAGTATTGGTTTTAGTTTATTCAGATTTTGATTAATCCAAATGATCTGTTTGGATTTATCTGGATGACAGATTGATTTGGATTCAATGCTCAACACTAAATTTTATATGAATTTAGTATTTAAGGGTTGGAAATGTGTGTGTTTCATTAAATCATGTATAGTTCTCAACGTGTTCTTTTTCTTATAGGAATTAGAAGACAAAATGGCTGTTGAAGGTATAAAACCAGATCCAAAAAATTTGGCAGATTCAAAGGCAGAAAAACCTACAGCCCCTTATTGGTTTGAAAACGGTAACAAAAAATACTTATCAGTTATACTATCAACTTAAGTTTATATTATTCTTAAAAACTTCTTAGATTATGGCTCTAACAATTCTGGTTATTATACTCTTCAAGCAGTTTTAACTCATAAAGGAAGATCTAGCTCTAGTGGTCATTATGTTGGTTGGGTGAGGGAGTCTCCTATGTCTAATAAATGGATAAAATGTGATGATGATACTGTAACACCTATAACTACTGAAGAAATACTAAAGCTATCAGGAGGGGGTATGTTAAATTTTGAAAATATTTATCGTTCAAAACTTATATACATATATATATATATATTATATTTTAATAGGAGACTGGCATTGTGCATACGTATTACTTTATGGGCCGAAACTCTTGCAAATGGAACATGTCACCAATTCGTAAATTAATATTTTTATAATTATAATACTGATAACAACTCAATAAAAGATGTTTATTATTTTATTATGTTTTTAATTAAAAAATAAAATTATAAATGTCTTCTTTAATGATATTGAATGTTATAAATAATTAATAAAAATAAAAATACTGTTTTGTCAAAAATGTAAACAACTTTTTATAAATGATAAATAAATTGTATAATACTTAATTAGTGTAATAATTTAACATCTATCACGGTGAGCTTTATATATTATACATTTATTATTGAAAATATTATCTACAAATAAGTTAGGAATAAAAATAAAGTATTTTATTTATAAATTTAAGTCCAAATTATATTTAATTTATTTATAGTTGATTTTCAAGAATCCATGAATCATTTAATTAGGCGATGAAAGTTTACACCTACAAAAAAAAGTTATTATGATAGTTATTTCAACAGTAATATTCATTAATCTATATTTTAAACTATTATAATAAGTTGCATATAAGTTATAAAATTTTGAAAGTACAAGGCATTACAACATATTTTTAGAAAAAAATGTTTCTTTTGAAAGAGTAACTACCATCATTAATGGTTTTAATATACTACTGGATATATTTATTAACTCAAATAAATAATTTATATATATTTAATTTAAAAATGTAAACACCATAAATACTTATTCACATTAGTGAGACAATTGTAAACACTAGAAGAAATGTTAAATAAGCTTTAAAGATTTTTATTAATAATACATATATTTTTTGTATGACCTTTAAAATACATATTATAATAGAATTAAAAAATTTAATTTTATTAAATTTAAATTAAAAATGGTTGTTACAAATTAAATTTACAATTGTCCTATGTTACCACCTATATGAATAAAATACTATAATTATTTTGAATTTTAATTTGTATTGAAATTTAATATAAAATAGTAAAATTAATACCGTTTTTTACGGGCGTGTAGAGACTCCTGACCACTATCTTCTTCACTAGTATTTCCATCACTAGAACTACTAGAACTACTTGAACTGCTAGAACAACTAGAACTATCAGATGCAAGACCAGTGCGATTTTTTAAATCAACAGCATCGGCAACTGTAGCAAGCTCAGGTTCCTTATTTTTTAATACCCTGTACCATTTTTTAGATAATTTAGGCCGTCCCCTGACTGTTTTATGCCATACTACAGGAAAATTAGTTTTACTGCAAAAATTTTGTGTAACAGCAACAGTAGTGTCTAAATTGAGAACTACATGCCACCATCCTCCAGGTACATAAACAGTTTCTCCTGGACACTGAAGTATTTCTATCTATTGACCAAGACATTTATTTTAAATGGTTACATAAAAGATTTTCAATCTAAAACTTACTGGTACACAATCTTTAGGCCAAGTAGGTAATTGAGTGCGAGGATAAATAACTTTAAACCATGTAATAGCTTCATCTCGTTGTTTACCACCTTCAGTGGAAGTGACCTTAAGTAATTCTTTTGGCGTATGAGTAGGGAACAAACACCACCTAAAATAATTCAATATAAATGTATAATTCGCATAGCAATTTTGTTAATTAAACCTTTTATGTCCACTAATAAGTGCATTCCAAGCACTTGTTCCTAAAGGATCTATATGGACTCCAGTTCCAGATCTAGCAGGACCCATCACAAACCATCGATATGGAGGTCTTCTCTTTTCACCAGCATACTTGAATAAATCATCTTGGAAATAAACAGGCACATCATAATCTTCCAATAGTTTTTTTCTTCTATGGTGCTACAATTTGTTTAAAAATATAACATTTTCAAAAATACTCATGGAACACTCATCATTATTAAAAAAAAATAGCGTTGTAAGATATTTTTCTTATAGAGGTTATATGTTATAAACTTTTTATTTTCATTGCTATTGTAAATTATAACAGTTAAACAAAATTAAAAATATTAACAATTTTATTAAACTTGAAAATGTCATCACATTAAAGAAGTTAAAATATTTTTCTGTGAAAATGTTATTATATTAATTATCTTTTACTTATTAGAACTATTAAGTTTCTAATACACTTATACATTGTTGATCATTTGTAAATTTAGATTTAGAAGTACACCAGGAAAATAAATATAAATAAAAACTTACATCACCAAAACTGCTATCAAAAATATACAAAGGGCTATCATCTTTGTTGTGATTAATGTAATGAACAAAATATTTCATTTTCATTTTTACACTATATCCTTGATTATCTTCACCGCATTTAAATCTTTGATTACGATACTTTTTTTCTAATCTCTTAATTATAAATAATAACACAAATTATTTTATAATATAAATATATATACATTTTATAGTGACATACTTCAATTGACCATTTATAAGAAGCTCTCCAATTATTTTGTAAGCCTCTGACTACAACTGGTTTATATGGCTTTTCATACTTTTCAGCAAACATATCAGGACTAACAATTTCTACATTGATTCTCTCCACATTATCATTTACTATAGTAAATGGTTTAAAATTATCTGCATATCTATGAGCATGCCAAGCATCTTTTTCACTCAACTCTAAAATAAATAAAACATTTTTCTTAAAAAAGTCAAATAAATAACTCATAAGCCATTTTAAATTAATAAATGGTATCAGAAATTTTAATATCAACAAATTAAAATAGGTATAAAAGTTTTTCTTTATATCAAATTCATAATAGACCCTTGAGGATACTGTTGATAAAAATCTTTTTTTGTGTACATCTAAAACATTAAATCTTTTGAATAATGTATGAAAAAGAATAGTACAACAAATATAAAATTTGAAAAGCAACATTAATATAATCAATATTAATAAGTGTTAATATTTACCAAAATAACGACTTTAAATACTTCCTACGAAATTTTGTTAATTTAAATAAAATAATATTTCTATAATAAACTTTATAACTTTTCAATGTGAATTATTAAATAGTTAAATAAAACAATTTACCTGGTCTAGCCTTATTTTTAGCTTCTTGAATTCTTCGTCTTGTTCTAGATTCAGAATTATTTGATGAATCACTCATTATAAATACTTAAAATTAATTTTTATTGCAAGCTATACTTAAATAGTAATCTCACTAAGAACGGAAGTATTAGTTAAAGCATACAACATTAGACCGTTCTATTAAATTCAACCAATTAATTATATGAATTCTCGACGAAGTATAGTTATTATCATGAAAAAATACATATCAACCGCAAATAAATTCTTTTATTTTTTTACTGCTTGTAGATATCATAAATTTTTCAAGTAAAATCATAACCTGAAATTTTCACAATTGTTATCTACTGTTACAACCGCTTTTTTATCTTTTCTATATCATGATTTATCATATTAATTACAGTTACTGTTAAGACAACTCACCTAAGTATATTAATAGAAGTCATTAAATTTTAGCATAAATAACTTTAATGATATTGTAATAAAAAAAATTGTAAAGTACTAGAAGTGTTTGTTGTGAAATATTGTACATTTCTCATTTTTCATAATAATCTACAAAGAATTGTTCAATACAAAAATTTAGCTCTTCACATTTGAAATATTGAGATGTCTGATGAAGAGAACGATCGGTTTGAAAATGAACAGTGTTTAATCAATAGCGATTTTAAAAACATACCACATATGCCAAGTGCTTGGGAACAAGATATATATGATGTAGATGAAGACCCAGATCCACACGGTAGAGTTATAGTATCATGAAATGTTCTGCATTTTAAAATAACTAGTAATGTAGTAAATTTTCTGTAGCCAAATATTTTAGGCATTATTTAAGAATGCATACTCTTATAAATTTTCAAAAAAGTCTTTGTAAATTAAACTTTAAATTTATATCTTCTATTTTATTTTATATAGCTTCTCCTGAACGAGAAATTTTGTGGGCTGCAGAACAAGGAAATCTTGATTTAGTAAAATCATTAGTTTCCAAACAGAGTAATTTAGTACATGTACAAGATAATGATGGCTACACAGCCTTGCATAGAGCAAGCTATAGCAATCATCTAAACATAGTTGAGGTAATTGAAGATGACCATTATAAAAATGATCTAGTATTGAATATTACAGTAGCCTTTTTTACAAGCCATTGCTTATGAGCAATAATAATAAAATAACTTAAAAAAAAACAAATTTTACATGAGATTCAAAAACAAATCCTATACAATTCCATTTTTCAGAAGACTTACACAAAAACTATAACAGATAAATTAATAAAACTTTCCTGGCTTAAAATTTAGTGTTTTTCTCACTTATGTTAGTGCAAAAATTTAAACAAACAAAAAAATTTTGGGTCATGTCACTAATTGCTAATTGACAATATGCTATTAGTTGATACAATATAAATAATATCAGTTTTTTTTTTTACATATGGTGTTAAATTGTGATAGCTCTCTCTTTCATTGTTTTGATTTACATTTTAAAATATTAACTATAAAAATAAATAGTTTTCAAAAACAAATTATACACAAACTTATCCTTCGTTATTTATTTTAACTTATTCTAACCATTATCTTTTCAAAGTAATATACTCGTAGTAATAACAATATTATTTTTAATAATCATGTAGTCTACTCATGTAACTATAATTTTAGCCTCTTCTAAATAATACTAGTATTTCTATATAGAATTTTTTGTTATATTTTATTAATTGACTTGAGAAACTATAACATTACATTATATATTTTTACTCTTTCAAATAATAATTGAGAACTTTATAAAGCCAATTATTAGCATTAATTTGTGCATTTTTCATTTAATCTTGATACTAAAAATATTTAATTGATGGTTTCAAAACCAAAATCCATATATTTTACCTTCAATAAAAATTTAGTTTGTAAAATTATATTTAATAATTATAGAACTTATACAATTCATAATTATACAATTCATAAAATAATTTGTTGACCATAATAATAGTTGGGTCATCTCATAAATCTTAAGATCATATTATAGTTGATTCTATTAATACATTTTTCTTAAACTATTCTAAAAAGTGTTACATTGATAACTTAAGCACAAATTATTCAAAATTAGTTATAAATATTGCCTAAAGTGATTTTAACTTAAAATCATTATACCATTTATCTAAAAAATGTGTAATGGACACATTTCTACTATTAACTTATAACTAATTTTTGAAATAAATAGATGTAAAATTAATTAATTTAGTGGTTAGTTTATAAATAATAAATTCTTTTATCTAGAATAAAATATCAATATTTTATTTTTCGTATGTAAATGTACAGTTTCTATTAGAGAATTGTGCAAATCCAAATGCTCGTACAATTGATCAATGGACACCTTTACACTCAGCTTGTAAATGGAATAATGTAAAATGTGCAACTAAATTAATAGAAGCTGGATCAAATATAAATGCTGTTACTTCTGGTGGTAATTTTTAAAAATATTTAAAAACTAAATAATCTTTGGTTAAAAAAATGCTAAGATAATATTTTTTTTTTTATCAGGTTTGACTCCTTTACATATCGTGGCTGAATTATCAGATTCTCACAATCTATTAGAATTATTATTATGTCAGCCAAATATCAAACCCAATGAAAAACTATTAAATAGTTCAGAAGATAAGCCAGTTGACATTGCAAGCCGTAAAAGTGCAAATTCTCGACTTTTTGAATATTCTGAGCCATGTTTTAATTATATATAAAATATTCAATTATATTTATTCTGACCAAAGACTTATACAAGATGCACATGAAGTAACAATTATTTTTTTACTAGGATGAGTACTTATTGAATTGATTGATTGTGTATAGGAAATATCCATGGGTTTAAATTTTCCTAAAACATTTGAGCTAACAAAATCCCAGAACCATAAATTACCACATGTTGATCCACTTATTATTAGAGTATCATTATGAAATATACAGTTTTCAATGAAATAATCATTTACTGTATGGCCAGTGTACCTAAAACATAAATTTAGTTAAATGTTTTGTTCTAAAATTAATCAAAGTAAAAGTTTGTTTTACTCATTTAGTAATTCTCCTTTATGGCGATCCATTAATTTTAAAGTGTTATCAGTGCAACTAACTAAAGTGCACATATTGTCTTGAGTGGAACTTATACAAGATATTGGTTCTGTAAAATTGTAATGTCGTTATAATTTTATTTAAAATGAGGTGTAATAAAACTTAAAGTAATAACATTATTTTGTTTTTATATTAATATCTTTAATTAAAGATTGCAATTGAATACAAAAATATATTTAGATTCTCAAGAAAATATATTATACGTAGCAATAACAAAAATGATACAAAAATATATTTGAGTCATAATTATTACTAATAACTATATAAACTTAATATTTATAACAAGTATAAGAAATTACTAAAATAATTTCCCCAATTAAAAAATCTAGGGTAAAATACAAATAAAAATAAAAACATACTTCATTATTAGATTAAAATTATATTATCTATAAAAAATATTTGATTTAATTCAGATACTTTTGTACTTTTACTAAAAATTGTGTTTGCAACAAAATAAATAAATAACTACACTCACTTCCTATAAAATCAGCATCTATATTACCCATTCGTATATCATATGTTCTTAAGAAGCAATCTAAAGAACTTGTCAAAATTTGATGTTCTATTACTAAAACTTTTGTAATACTGTCTTTAGCCTCTTTTAAAACCTATTTTTAAACAAATATTAACAGTTAGTATAAAAATACTTAAATAGTATTGAAACATTTTACGTTTTTCAAAAATAGTAGTGTCAAAATGGTTTTTAATACATTTAATTATTGATATTTACTATTTAAGTTAATAATAAAACGTTGGTATAGAGTAATTCAAATTTTATTACATACTTGAATTGGATTATTACTTCGGCTTCTTGTATCCCAACAGCAAACTGTATTGTCATTAGATCCTGATACAACAACTGAAGAATCTTCATTATACTTAACACAATTAACTGTAGCAGCATGTTGACGTAACCTTCTTTTTACACGACCATCTGAGACATCCCAGAGAACAACTGATTTATCTGCTCCACCCGATGCTAACTCACTATGATTAATTTTTGATAGAAAAACATTAATAAATAATCTACTAATTTATTACTACCTGCTATCACATGATCCACAAACATCCATTACACAATCACCATGACCAGCATATGATTTTAAACATAAATCTTTGTAAGGATTCCATAATTTAATTTTTTTATCACTACCACATGTCAAACAATATTCACCATCCACTGTAAATTAATTACAAAACTATAAAACAAGCTTACTTTGAATAATATAAACGCCTACCATTGAATCTTACAGATCTAATTGCTCCTTGATCACATTTTATAGTTTTTATACACTTTAAATCCATTTTTAATAAAAAAAATATATTTGAGTAAAAATTTAAAAATAGGAAATATTGTTAAAAACACAACATAATGTTAAAAATTAAAAATATTTGTATGTAATGACTAAAATAACCTAATTAATGATAGTAGTAATATTATTACACTAATAACAGGTACCAGTATATTTATTAACCGATGCACAAAAAATCCACTTAGATACAAAATAATTCAGTTGATAGATAACATTTTTTTTTATTTTTTCTTTTAGTCGCTGTTATCAGTTAGAAAATACTTATATTATTAAGAAACAAATACAAATGATTGATTAATCATATTTATTATATTGATCCACGAAAAAATTAATTATCTTCCTTAAGTTCGATTTAAATTTTTTTATTAAAAGTAAAGCATTAATATACTAGTTAAATTTCTTTTTGAAGTCACTAAGAAATAATATTGGTACTTTGCCACCCAAAGATAAAAAATTTATAATACTTTATTCCCACAACAATTTTTTATTTATTCAGAATTTAAATTATATACAGTGATATTTTATTATATTATATTGTGTATATCTTATATAACCGAAGGAAGACTTTTAAAATTATTTAAAAAACATAAATTCTCAAAGAATAAAGGTATTTATTTTGTTCAACGTTGTTGTTACAATATTTTCACTATCATAAGAAACGCTTCGATGCAAATCTGTAAATAGTGTTCAATTTTGAGAAATTGGTGGATTATTCAAAAGCTAAATTCTAATTCAAAAAGAATTAAGGAAAAATTGCACAAAAATCAAATAAAATTGGCAATTAAAATTAATTCAAATGTAAAAATTAATTTGTTGACTTAAAAGAAAAAATAATTGAAATAAGTTTAACTTGTATTCTATGTCAATTAGTATTATATAATATTTATGAAAATCAGTGTACCCTATTCTAAGGTATATTAAAACAAATTAAAATACCAAACCCAAAATTTTAACACAAAAATAGCATATTTTTGATGGCGATATTGGTAGAACCTGCTGGTATACAAGAATAGGAAGATAACTATCTTAAGTAACAGTCAAATGGTTTTGAAAGCACTCTGTAATGACCAGGTGAATTCAAAGCTTGTCTTCAAATGCAGGGAAACTTTAGAATTACTATCGAGGTTCAACAAAGTTACACTAGCATGGGTACCAGGACACAAAGGTGTCACTGGAAATGAAAATGCTGACTTTCTAGGTAGGAAAGTAGTAGAGAACACTTATGTTGGACCAGAACCAGTGGTAGGACTCACTGAGTAATCGCTCAAAGCGTTACCCAAGAATTGGTGCAGAGAACAGCACAGGAAAATCTGGAAGTACTTGGTAGTACCTAGACAATCCAAAATGTTTATCAAGAACCCTGGTCTACTGCTGTGTGATCTTAATAACATGACTAGACATCAAATAAGCACTTTGACTGGTCTACTGACAGGACATGGTCACTTGCTTAAACATAAAAAAAAAAAGCTTCGATGCAAATCTTTAAATAGTGTTTAATTTTAAAAAATTGGTGGATTATTCCAAAAGCTTCATAAACTGCTAGTTCCTTATTAATATCCTGATTAAAATAAAGTATGTCGAATGAAAAAAGGATTATTAAAAAATAGTATTTCCCATAAAAAAATTATATTGATCAATACACTTTTCAATAAGTTATAGCATAATAAAGTTAAAAATTTAAACATTTTTTTTTATTATTATCTTTAGTTACACATTATTCTTGAATTTTAACTATGTAATACTTTTTAAGTTCATCCCTTATGCCTTGGAGGGGGGTCAACTTTGTTTTTTTAAATGGTAACACATATTTTTAATTTAATAAAATGTTTGAGTTTTTAATTTAATAGTAAATGGCATTTGAATTTTTAATATAACTTTATTAGCTTATTAGATATAAACATTTAAAGTTTCAAAATTTTGAGTTAATATACATGTATAATACACATGGGATTGTAAATACAGGTAGCTAATTGGATTTTTATGACATTGCTGTCTCAGTCACGGATTGTTTATTATCAATTATGATTATCAATAGATATATTTTCTGTATTGTCAGTTAGTGTATTTATAAACTCATAACAATGTGCCTTACTACAATTGATAATAACAATGCTGTGTACCTGCTAATATCGATGTTATAAAAAACCAATTAGCTACCTATATTTGTAATCCCTTGTGTATTATACCTGTATATTAATTCAAAAATTTGAAACTTTAAATGATTATATCTAATAAACGAATTAAGTTATATTAAAAATTCAAATGCCATTTACTATTAAATTAAAAACTCAAACATTTTATTAAATTAAAAATATGTGTTACCATTTAAAAAAACAAAGTTGACTCCCTCCAAGGCATAAGGGTAAACTTAAAAAGTATTACATAGTTAAAAATTCAAGAATAATGTGTAACTAAAGATAATAATAAAAAAAAATGTTTAAATTATTATTATTCTGCAAGTAATTGAGTGGGTTATGATAAAAAAATCACTCTGTATAGGTTCTATAAAATTTTCTTAATACTAAATTTTTATTCAAAATAAATTGATTATTTTTAAATTATTTAATTATCATCGTATGAATGATTTTAGAAAAAATTCTGTTAAGGTATGTTCTATAATAAGTATAATGAAATGAATCACGGACAATGCGCACGGTTCTGTAAGACGATGGGGATGTTAAATCATTTTCTACTAAAATCTGAAATGATGCCTCTGGATAATTGAATATTATTTAGAAGGTTTGTCTAGATAAATTTATTAAGTTACGTACTAACGTTGTCCACAATAACTTGGTTAATAATTGATTATCAAAATAAGTAAGTGGTCGGCAAGGCAAGTGTTGTTTTGTAATAATAATCCATTTTTCAAGTTTTTTCATTAAAAAAGAAAATTAAAAATATCAATAAGAACTATACTATAACAATTGGTATTTTTATGAAAGTTTTCTTTATTGAGTAGTTTGAGGAATATTTTTCAAAATTATGGGACTGATAGCTTCAACAAGATACTTTTTGTGATCTTTGACATATAATGTATAGTAACATAAAAAAACATGGCTGAGTAATACCAGTAGTTTCTTAGCTATGTATCGAAGTTAAAATTTATCCTATATAAATATTTAAATAATTAAAGAAACTATTCACAACCAATTCTTTATTTGTTCAAAAAATCTTTAACAGTTATAAAATTCATTTTTTTAGAATTTTTAACAATTTATATTTTATTAAATAGAAAATTACAAAAATGATAAAAATTTGATAATTTTTTTATTTTCTATTTGCTTATTAACAAAACATAATAGTAATAATTGAAAGGATTATAATCAAAAATTAGTATTGATGTTTTTAAATTGTGATGCAATTCTTATTGTAAAAATTAGAACCAAAATTTAAGAACTACTTAGTAATAAAAGGATATGTTTGAATTATTTTTAATATATGCTGTATATCAAAAAATGTATTCTATTTGAATACATTTTTTTACATAATTAAATACATACATTTAAAACAATATCACATTTTAAATCACCACCTTTCACTTTTAATGTTGGCTGTAACCTAATTCTAAACATGGAATTATAACTGAGTAAAAAGGAGTACAAACATATTAGTGAGTTATTTAAAAAAAAGTTTTTGTATAAAACCAAAAAATAAAAGACCTTTTTGTGGAAATTCAAATTTGATTTTCGTCAGTTTATGATTTAAAAGTAAAGACTTATCAATTACTAATATTTTATTTCCTATTCTTATTGTAAACTAACTTTTCTTAGACTATTATATCAAAAACTATACATAAAATCAATCACATATCTAAGATGGATTACTTTAATAGTTTTTATCATGATTATTATTATGTAGATAGAAAAATGTTTGACATTTTAATATATGTATCTTAAAAATTTAAAATATATTTAATGAAGTAGAATGTTATATACCCAAATATCTCTACTTGTGTACTCAACTTATGCGCCATTGGAAATAATTTTTTAACAGATATTTTTGTTTATAAAAACATGTTAACGAATACAAAACGTAACAATTATAAAATTTAATACAAGTAAATAAGATACTTTTTAAATGGTAACCATAAACTATCCTTTTGAATTTAATTAATTAAAATTGATAATTAAACGTCTATTTGAAATGAAGTCTCTTGAGTTAGTCTTCTAGGCGATTTTCGTTGATGAGATGATACCTTTGATCGACGTTCAAATTCATTTGCTTCATTTTGTCGCATAGTTCGAGAATCAGAGAACCTTGATGGTGGATTTAACCTATCACTAATATTAAATAAACATTATTGTTCAATTTTGTTTAATTACCAATAATTTTATGTTTAATCAATTATATTATTAGTTCAGAAACATAAACAATTTACACTTGTAACTCAAATATTCATCATATCAATGCACATGTAAGCATATCTATTACATATTTATTTGCATAATTTTGTAAAGTTTTAGTTAAAAACATATAAATGATAGATTATCCATAATAAACTACCTGAAATACAATTCACTATCATGATTTTTGTAATCACAACTACCCTTAGATGATCTTTTAGTATACGCGTGGTTTTTTATTTTAGATTTTCTTGATGTAGGCAATATTGGAGGTTTTCTTGACTCTGTTATTGAATTTTCCGATGAAGTACTTGAATCTTCATTTTCTAGTTCTATAAATACATTAATACATAAATAAACAATAAAACATGTTTACTCCATTTGAAGTAATTAAAATAAAAGTTAAACTAAATTAAATTAAAAGTCTAAACATTGGCGAGTGAACATGATTATCTATAGATAAGTCAAAGGATCAAGAGAAAAAGTTAAACATTTTTATATTAATATATTTTTGTATCTTTTATAAATCTAATTACATATATATTGATTAGGTTTATATATAAAGATATTTTACAATATCTTTACTTTAATTTCATTAAACTTAGTTCATCAAATTCGGTTGTGTCCTTTTTTAAGTATAATTTTTAAATATCGAGTTAAGTGAATGTTATTACCTTATCAACTCCCTATATATTGACCTAAATTTTAAAGTAATAAAACCTTTATAGTAATAGTAACCTCTACTCATACGGCGCCTAAATGAAACAAGTTCTTGACTAACAGATTGATTCCGTCTTCCCTCTCCATTATCAGAATCACTACCATGAGTTTCATACTCTGAAATAGGCAAGTGAAGTGTTAAAATCCGCTTAACTTCGGAATCCGTACTACCTAAATTGTCCGATTCTGTAAAATTTTTAATATTTAATTTTTTATTACTACAACAATAAAACGGTAATTTAGAAATTTGATAACCAAAAATTTCCAGTAAAAATTGAAGTACATCAATAAAATTAATATCTAAACAATTTTTTTAGATATTACAAAAGTACATAATTTAACAAAAAGTACCATAAAAAACCCAGCACAGTGGGATCGCGGCACAGTTGGGACGTAGCATAGTTGGTTCCAATATAGATTTAATCTGACAGTGATTAAAATCACTATCATCAGAAACGCTTCGATGCAAATCTGTAGATAGTTTTTAATTTTAAGAAATTGGTGGATAATTACAAAAACAACATCAACTATTTCCTTAATTATATCCAGATTAGTAATTCTTAGATTCAAAAATGTAATATAAAATTATATATTATATAATTGTTATATTGAATTGTTTTCAAATTATTATTGATATTGATTTCTAATATGTTAAAAGTAATAATTTTTAACCTACTTTTTTTCGTCCTTTAAAGTAAAAGTTTATAATAAAAAAAAAAAATGAATTAAGTAACCATAACTTTTAGCTCAACTTAGAAGTTTGAAATTGACATTATTAAATAGAAAAAAATTTAATTATTAAGATTAATATGCAGTCAGGAAATTTTATAATTACTATTTACAGTAAATTTATCAGAAAAGTTCGATTTTTTTTTTACATTTTTATCGTAATAGATTACTTAAATAAAAATCATAGTAATCATTTCTAATTAACTTTTGGTTAATTAAAAGAGTACCATAAAAATATTTTTGTTATGAAATAAACTATAATTATATATACTATTTTTGATTTTTAAAATTTTAATTAACAACCCCAATGTAATTTGTATATTACGAGTTTAACACAAAACATAAAATATTTAAGATCCATACGTTCAATTTATTCTTATAAATTTTATAAAAATATAAAAGGAGGTTATTAGAATATTATATTTAAAATTAAATTTTAAAATTCAAATATTTTTTAGCAAAAAAGTATTAGGTAATATAGTTTTTAGATGTTTCAATTAAAAATAAATTTTCAAAAGATACCAATCTCAAAAATATAACCATGAATTTGATAATACAATATAACTTGGCAAAAAATTTATATTATATCATCATTACTAATGTTTCTATTAAATTCCTCACATAGTTATCATAGTTGTGTACATATTTGTACATAACTATGCATGTATAATAAAATCACTGTATTATACAGTGAATATACTTTTAAAATAATAGCCACCTGTTAGTATAATGATTAATATTCGGTAAACTAACATTCAACTTTTATCTATTGTATAACTTAACTTGCATGTCGACCGATCTACCTGATAACAACAAATTTATATTTGAGACAAGGGAACCGACGACTTGAAAAAGTCAAAGGGAACTGAAGCTCAAAAACCTGAGGACAAGGGGCTAGAACCTCCATGTAAGAAAACTCATTGGGTACCAACCTATAGGAATGTGGTAACCGATGATAAACCTCGCAGGCTACCCCACTAACAAGTTGACCACAGAACAGGGGCTACTCATTGAGTCTTGTGTTGGAGACTTGATACTGTCGAATACTGATGGAACCGACGTACCAAGGTTTAAAGACACCAGACTCATTGATGGAGCACTTGTGATCAGTGCAGCCCAAGAGAGCTCTCTTAAGTGGCTCACTGATCATGTCAACCTGATAAAATCTTGGGACGGTGCAAAATTCCAATTGGAAGCCTACAAACCGATCAAGTACAAACGGATGGTCATTCATATACCAAGGCTGCCAAAAAAGTCCAAGAAGATCTTGGAAATTTTGACAAAGCAGAATCCAGGGCTGAATACAACAATCTGGAAAGTCCACCATAAGACAAAGGTTGGTTCGAAAGAACAAACTTTGTTCCTTAATCTGTGACCAGATTAAGAATGAAGGGGCTAAATCTAAGGAATTTTTAACTGTTTCATAAACAAGCAGATAAACCAAGAACTTGCATTTCGGTTAATGATAAAGTTAAAGCCAGCTTGGTACTTAATCTATCAAGTGCAGACTTGAATATTATTAGAGTAACATTAAATGGTAAAAATATTATAGTAGCTTCAGGATACCTACCATATAAGGTCACAAACCCAGGTAGGGACCTAATTATGCTTTTTAGAGTTAATCGTCCCCCATCTCTGCAAAATATTTAGGGCTTACCTTGCCTATGGTTATCAACCGGAAAGCTGGCGAAAAGTTAGGGTGGTGTTTATACCCAAACCTAACCAAACTAACTATTATGAAGCAAAATCCTACAGGACAATAAGTCTTACTTCATTTTTTATTAAGACTATGGAGAAACTTGTTGATAGGTACATAAAGGAGAGTTCTCTAAAGGAGAACCATTTACATGATAACCAACATGCGTATCAAACGGGGAAATCTACTGATACAGCTCTACACTGCTTAACCACCAAGATAAGGAAAGCTGTGGAGAATAAAATGTATGCAGTAGGTATATTTCTAGACATCAAAGGGGCTTTTGACAATACTCCCTTCGATGCTATGTGTGAATCTGTACAACAGCATGGAAAAGAACCACTTATTACTAAGTGGATAGAATCTATGCTTAAGGAACGCTCCATTTTGGGATAGCTCAATGAGACCAATGTAATCAAGAGTGTTAAACATGGATGCCCACAAGGCGTGGTTCTCTGGTGTCCAGTATTGGACTCGCTTATTAAAGAGTTAAACAAATACACAAGCCTATGCTGATGACTTAGTTATAGCAGTGGTGGGTAAATTCCCAAACACTATTATAGACTTAGCACAATAGAGGTTAATACTGAATGATACTGTACGGTGCCATAGTCTGGTGGACCAGAATAGCACTCGTTACAGCTAGGAAAGAACTTAGTCGCATACAAAGAATGGCCGCCATAGCCATCACTAGAAATACACCAACAGTCACATTAGAGGCACTAATCGGATTGCCTCCTTTGCACCTAGAGGTTAAAGCCACAGCACTAAGATTCCACACTTGGGAACTTGGACTTTGTAGAGTGACACAGCAAAACACGGTAAAATAATAAAAGAGATAAACCAGGGCTATTTGAAATACCCCTTGGACTTTATCAAACCGGTTCTTCAGAATAACATTCCCTACAAAGTGGAAATCACTACACGTTGAAAATGGAATATTAACCACCTGACTGAGAAAGGAGGATTTGTAATATATACAGATGAATCCAAAAAATCAGAAAAGGTAGGTGCTGGAATTTGGAGTCTAAAGCCACGAATAAATGTCAGCATGTCATTAGACATAACACCCTCTGTTTTCCAAGCAGAGGTGATGGCAATACTGGTAGGAGCTCAGAACCTACTGGTATACAAGAATAGGAAGATAACTATCTTAAGTAACAGTCAAATGGTTTTGAAAGCACTCTGTAATGACCAGGTGAATTCAAAGCTTGTCTTCAAATGCAGGGAAACTTTAGAATTACTATCGAGGTTCAACAAAGTTACACTAGCATGGGTACCAGGACACAAAGGTGTCACTGGAAATGAAAATGCTGACTTTCNAATCCCCCCTGTATTTAGGGAAATGGTCCGATTTAAAAAAACAGTATGTCGAATGAAAGATCTATATAAATACTACTTCTCATAAAAAAATTATATTGATCAATACACTTTTCAATAAGTTATAGCATAATAAAGTTAAAAATATAAAATACAAAATCGAAAATTTTCACACATAAATAGCATTCGGTAGCCATTTTCACCCTGAAGATAAAATAAAGTCCGAAATTTTTTTTTACATAATAAAGAAGATTACATTAGCTTTAATTTAAGATATATATAAAAGTGTCAGACTTTCCGGAACACTTTCAAAATTTAAGTTGAAAAAATCAATTTTTTGTGAAAAAGTTGTCATTTTGAATCCCCCCTTGTAGGCAGGTAAAAAGTCAGATTTATAAAAAAATATACCAAATGATAGGTAAAGACATCATGCATCTACAAAAAAAAGAATTATATTGATCCATACATTTTTCAAAAAGTTATAGCATTATAAAGTTAAAAATATAAAAAAGAATTTTTTTACAAAAATCGTATTTTTTTTATTAAGTTTAATGTCTGTTTTCACCATGAACATAAAATAAAGTCCGAATTTTTTTTTTTTTCATGATAAAGTATATTACAATAGCTTTAATTTNAGTATATTACATTAGCTTTAATTTAAGGTATATATAAAATTGTCAGTCTTTCCGGAACATTTTCAAAAGTTAAGTTGAAAAAGTTAATTTTTTGTGAAAAAGTTGTCTTTTTAAATCCCCCCCTGTGGGCAGATAAAGGGTCAGATTTACAAAAAAAATATATCAAATGATAGGTAAAGACATCAAGCATCTATAAAAAAAAAAATTATATTGATATGTTCATTTTTGAAAAAGTTACGGCACTTTTTAGTAAAAAAAATTGAAAAAATTTCGAAAATTAGCGATTTTTAAATTTGTAATTTTTTTGGAGGTTTCCCCCATTTACGGGGAACGAGGGAAATTTTTTCAATTTTGAAGGGTAATGTCTTCGACTAGATACGATTTGTGATCTTTTGACGTATCGTTGAAAGAAATCCGTTCGGTGAGAGCTGAGAAAAAGTGGTAACAGACACAAAAAAAAAAAACACATCATTGTAAAACCAATACCTTCTCAGCTTCGCATCGAAGCTAAAAGAAACATATTAAAACAATGTTAATATATTTGTAATTCGCTGTATTATTTACAATATTAATACCAAAAATTTATTACTTTTCAACTGTAATACCTTACCTTGACTTTCAGAATGTGGGTCTCTTAGTTTTTTACTTTTATGACGAACTTTGGTATACTCAGGTTCTTTTCTCTAAAAATAAATGGTACATTATTATTTTAATTGCACATATTACTGTAAAAGTAATTAAGAAGTTTATTTCAAAATGATATTAGCAACTAAATTTGGAACTATATAATTTTTGAATACTAAAAATAAATTCTTGTACTACTTTCATTATTTTTGAGTTCTAAATCTTTGATTTTTTTACTTTTGTGATAAGTTTTATTTTTAATTAAAAATTCTAAACATCTTACTTGAGTAAAGTTGTAAGAATCAGAAATAGATGCTTTTGGTTGATGATAAACAAATGATCCTCTGACTGAATGATATGGACCACTATAAATATTTCCACTAAATGTACTTTCTCCTTGTGGTTGTTTTGCTAATTCAAATGTAGCATATGGACAAATTTCATCCATAAAATCTTAAAAATTAAATAATATTTAAAAATCTTTATTTCTTAAAAACTGAATGATTCTTTAACATTGTAATATACCCGTAGAGTCTGTTTTGAATGTTACTGAGTCACAGCTTAAAGTTTGCTGTGATTGTCCTCTAATAGAATAATGATTATCTCGATTTCTCTCATTTTGATCTCTTAAATAAGTTTCATCTGAATGTTCTTAAATAAAATTGAAAAAGTAATTTATAACTAAATTGATATTTTTACTATAATTAACAAATTAAACTCACTCATAAATTTATAGTAATATGTAAATGCAGCAATTGATGATACAACTATAAGAGCTATGATTAAAGATATTGCCGTAGTAGTTGATGTAAAAGCTGAAGACTCTGGAGTAATCTCAGTATAAATATCAAATGGTATAATAGTGGCTATTTTAAAGAAGAGTGTTGTTTAGTTATGATAAATTTAATTTAAGTTTTATTCGTTCTAGGAATATATGTTAATTTTACATGTAAAACTCACCTCCATCAATAGTTAAAGTAGTAATATTATAAACTACAAATGATGAACCAATATTATTATAGGCAGAAACTTTTATATTATATTTAGTAGCCGGTTCAAGGTTCCCTAACGTATATACACTTTCTTTTGGTAAAATAGACTTGTCGCTAATTGAAATCCAATCATCAGTAAATGTATTTTCTTTCCACTTTACAGTATAATAAAGAATGTCACATCCTCCATTGTGCCATTGATCTAGCCAAATACTAACAGCTGAGTTATTATACACGATTGCTTCATAAGAATTTTCTGGTGGCTCAGGTACTATAGTACAAATTTAAATCATTAAGTTTAAACATAAATTTAACATTAATTATAACATTTTTATCTCACCTGATCCTTTAGTATAAGCTGAAACGATATCACATGGTAATCCAGTACCAATTTTATTATATGCAGTTATGTATAACTGATATCTTGTACCACAAAGTAAGTTTTGAAGAACATGAAAGTGAGTTTTGGAATCAACTTGTATTTCTTCCCAATCACCATGTTCACGTTTATAATTGATTGTGTAACCTTATAAAATATATGAATAAGTGAATCTGAAGATTATTTATCAGGACAAGGAAACGTTATGAATAATGTTATAACTATAACGTAAAAAATGAAAAATTTTGCTATAACCAAAAATGTGTGGTAACAATAATAATACATCTAATAGTAATATGTAATTCATTTTTTAACGTAAAACAATTCTTACTTCAACAAAAATAAATTCTTTTATATTTGAAAAAAATTATGTAAGTAGCCATTTTTCCATATTAAATAATGTTTGTGGCAGTGAATTATGTTTCAAACCCTTTTAATGTTAAACGTAAACATGTATAAAAGTCAAAACAATAAATGAAAAAAAAATTGAATAACGTTTTAATATTAAAAAGTTTAAATGTCGTTAAATTCAATTATAAGATAACAATATAGTATTTTTAACGTTAAATAAAAAAAAAGATTGTAACTGACCCTTGTTAATTATTTTTTATTACCTAATATTGGAATATCTAGTTCAGAAGTGTCCATCCACTTCAATTGTAAGCTATCAATATCCTCTAAATGGACAGATAATTTTGGTGGAGATGGTGGAACTAATAAAAGAAATATAAGGTTAAGTAATATTTTTGCTAAGTTTATTTCTAGAGTTACCTTTAACGTTTATAGAGTAAATTATGACATCTTTGCCGTGGTTATTTTCTACAAAACATGTATAATTTCCTTTATCAGAATGTTGTATGTCACTTATTACTAATGATCCGTCTTTATTTATCTATTATTTAAGTTTTTAATTAATTATAGAAAACTAAAAAAAAATATTTTATTGAGTTATTATTATCGTTGCCTACTTGGAAAATAACACGAGTCGAAATTTTAATTTCATCTAATAAAATTTAAGAGATACAGAGTGATTATATTTGGTAGATATAATAAATGTCAAATTATTTAATGATACTTATTCCCTTTAATATTAATAAACAAATCACAATAAAGTTTTTTCTGGAAAGAGAACATGTTTACAGATAACATGTATTAATTAAAAATACCTATCTAACATTCATTTTTCAAATTAAATTTAAAAAAAAAATGAGAAAGTGATGTAGGTTTTGTATATAAATTTCGAAACATTTACGACACTAATTCATAAAATAAATAAATTATGAATGATTGAAAACCAAATAACATGTTATTCAATTTCCAATCATATATAAAAAAAAATAGAAAAATTGTTTCTTTTCAGCAGTTAGATGCTTATTTTATAGGATTTTCTATTCTTTCTCTTAATAAATTTCGATAATCAACATGTGTGTTTTTTTCTCGTGGTGGCAACAATATTAGAAAATAATTTACTTGGTATCTTCCGTTAGAATTTACTGATCGTCCAGCTTTTGTCCAAATAGGCTGAGGTAATGGAATGCCAACTCTTTTACAATTTAAAGTAACATTTTTTTTCCATCTGGTGACAATATATTGAGAGAAAGATACTATTTTTGCTGGTACTTTAATTGTTGGCAAAACTGTAATAGTGCGAGTACTTTCACTTTCGCCCATTTTAGTCACAGCCTTTAACCAAAATTGATATTTTGCACTATCTAAAATTCGTGACGTCTCGAACACTTCAACAGATGAGCCTAATATTTTTTTGATAGGCTTGGACTAAAATGTATTTTATTTTTAAATATTTCATGTTATTTCTAAAATGGTGATTGTATATATCTTACATCTTTGTGGCCAGTTAAAACTGATATGTATAAAATATATCCAGTTAATTTTCCGTTCGGATGAAGTGGAGGAAGCCATGATACAATAATAGTACTTATTGAACCAATTACTGCCTTTATATCTGCTGGTACAGTAGGGGCTGAGTAAAAGATTAAATTAATGTTTTTCAAAAGTTATTACTTCTTGGTAAAGGGATACTCACTATCTTCTTCAGTTTTGCAGTAAACTGGAACGCTATGAATTCCATCTCCTTTACTTGTAAATGGATATACTGATATACTGTAATTTGTATACTTAGATAAAGCTTGAATTGTTGTGTATTGTGCAGTCGTTATTTTTGTTTCGTAATCATTTTTTTCTTTAAAATAAAAATTTATTTAAAGCTCATTTTAATTAGCTTTCATTTGAGAAAATGTGTATATAGTGCAATAAACCTACCTATTTTTCATATAAGGGAAAGCAAAGACACATTATTTGTATTGAAGCTAGAAAAGGTCTTTGGTAAAGTATTTATAAAATGTTTGGGTGGGAAGAAATAAAAAACTCTTGAAATAAATAGAACAATTTATGGTAGTTGTTATTATCCTATCATTAATAGTTAAGTAATAGTACCTTAACACTGAAACTATATACATAGAATAATTTAAGATAAAGAAAACCAGCAGTTTTCAACAATACAATTTTTTATTTAGGTCTTTGAATTACGTTAGACATAAAAATAGGATCCATACAAGTTACATAATAAACAAATTATGTAAGCAAAATAATTATTATAAAAGTATCATCTTTACTATTAAATGACGAATTGAGGAGTTAGTATTTTTACCATTTGTTTTATTTTTCATTTTTAAAAATGAAGAAACAAAACAAGAGTTTCAAAACAAGGTTCATAACAGTGATAACTGATGGTATCGACCCAACATGAGAAAAAGTGGTTAACAATATTCGGCAATCTGCTGAAGAATCAATTGGATTTAGGAAACAATGGATAACGAATGAGATAATGGACTTAATAAAATACCGCAACAAATTAAGGAAGACTGATGATTCGATGTATAGAATAATAAAGAACCATATTATCCAAAAGTGCAGAGATGAAAAGGAGAAATGGATGGATATGCGAAAACATTAAAGCAAATATGACGCAAATAGAATGGACAAAGCATATAGAATGATTAAACGATTGTCAATATTACCGAAGCCAAGAAGCAAAATTGTTAAGGATATGAATGGACAACTGATTCTAGATGAAGATGACATAGCGACGAGATGGAAAAAGTACATAGAAGATTTGTATGAAGGTTGTATAGGAGAAAATGACATAAATATTGAAGATATAAGTGAGTCAAACAGAGAAGACATAGGGCCAAATATAACAAAAAGCAAATTTATTAAAGCACTAAGTGAATTGAAACAAGGTAAAGCGACAGGAGTAGATGACATCCCGGCAGAACTATTAAAAAACGTCGAAAAATATACCGAGAATAAGCTATTTGAAATGATTGAAAATATTTATAGGGATGGCAACATTCGGGAGGACTTTGCCAAAAGCAAAATTGTACTTATCCCTAAAAAAAAGAATTCCACAGAATGCAAGAATTACAGAACAATAAATCTCTTTACACATGCGTCCAAAATACTTCTTATCATCATAAAAATAGGATAAGGACAAAAACAGAAGAGGAGCTTGATGAAAACCAATTCGGGTTTAGACAGGGATTTGGCACAAGAGAAGCAATTTTAGCTCTAAGGTTACTTACCGAAAGGATGCTAAATGTAAATAGAAATACATTTATAACTTTTATAGATCTAGAAAAAGCCTTCGACACAGTTAACTGGGCTTTATTGATAAACTCTATGAAAAGAACTTGAATAGATTGGAGGGACAGAAGAGTAATAATGTTACTATACAAGAAACAAGAGACCTTAATAGAGGTAGGAGAACATAGTGCAACAGCAAAAATTAGAAGAGGGGTAAGACAAGGTTGTTCCTTATCACCTTATCTGTTCAATTTATTTGTTGAAAAAATCATAGACAAGTATAAGAGAAACTCTTAAGGAATAAGAATAAATGGAGAAAAGATACACTGTATACGATTTGCAGATGATATTGCTCTAGTGTTTGAATCGGAAAAAGACATGCAAAAATCTCTAACTACCCTCACTAAAATATTGCAGAAGTATCAAATGAAAATAAATGTAAATAAAACAAAGGTAATGGTGGTGACTAAAACAAAAGAAATTCCTTTAGTGTGGTTGGAAATAGATAATAACTTAATTGAACAGGTTCAACAATTTAAGTATCTAGGAAGTGCGATTACTAGTGATGGTAGATGCTCAATAGAAATTAGACAAAGAATAACTATGGCAAAGAGAGCATTTATGCAAAAATGGCAGCTACTTACAAACAAAAAACTTAATATAAAGATGAGAAAAAATTTTGTCAAATGCTATGTATGGAGCGTATTACTATATGGTTATGAAACATGGACCATCAATGGACAAGACAAGAAGAAGTTGGAAGCCATGGAGAAGGTTGCTGAAAGTCATCTGGACAGAAATGAAAAGTAATGTAGATGTATTAAACCAAGTAGGGGAAAAAAGAATTCTGTTAAACGCCATAAAAGAAAGAAGTGGAAAAATGTTCTGTCACCTAATAAGGCACAACTCGTTTATAACAAATATATTTGAAGGACGAATAAATGGACACAAAGGTAGAGGTAGACCGAGGAAAGCATATATAGAAGAAATGATAAGATAAGCTGACTGTAGTCGATACATAGACATGAAAAGATTGGCTTTTAACAGAAAAGAATGGAGAACCAGATTTGCAATGACAAGGAAAGGCCTTTAGTAGAGAAGAAGAAGTTTTATTTTTGTATCTGCTACCATATTTCAGCCCTCACTGGATAGACTTTACTCTATGATACGCTAAAATATTAATATTTACATAAAAATTAAAACTTAACTTTTAAAAATGTTACGAAGAATATCATGCTTTAAATATATTTTAAATTAGAGCTTATACAATATACAATATATAAACAATATTGAGTTCTATACTTGTTTTTCTGATATTAATGATTGCCGTAGTCGAAAATTGTACAATTTTTTTTTTTTTAAATGCTGATTCGTAATTTTCAACTTCATTCTTCTTTGAATTTTTGAAAAGTGTGAATATTAAAATAATTTTTTTAGAGAAATACATAAGTTATATAATTTTATGCTAATATAATTTTTTTTTAATATAATCGTTTACATTTTAAAATTCGTTTAGTGCTTATTACATAGGTATATATTACTAAACTCCGATTATACTGTTGTTTTTTAAAAAACAATTTGAATAAAAAAGTATTTTTTTTCACAAACCAAGAAAAATATTTCTAAACAAACAATCAAATAAGAACAAATTCCAGATATACAAATAAAAAATTTCTTCACAAACATAAAGGAGTTTAAAGGGCAAAACTCAGTGTTCACACGACCTTTGATTCCTTAAGTTACCACTGCGCTATAGAACAGTAGTGTATTTAAGGGTGGTTTAAAAGGGATTTCAGGGGAATATGATTATCCTTTGAACAGTTACTGTACAAAACTTTTAAATCTTTTTGTTACATTTAACGTAATTTTTTCTAATTATTATACGAAAACTAATAAAAATTAATTTATATTAACTTTATAAAATTGCAAAATATATTTGTATTTCAAAATCTCTCGTGTATATAATTAAAATTAGACTTCAAATAATAACAAAATTAAAAACAATTATACAAATGTAATATATATATATATATATATATATATATATATAATAACTTACCATACCAATCTTCAATAGGTTGATAAGACACCTTAAATCCTTGTATTTTACCATTACGATTAATCAATGGAGGTAAGTCCCATGAAATTTGAATGCTCTGAGATGTTAAGGGTCTACATGCTATTTTTTCCAAAGGTATTGTGGGTACTATTGTACATTAAATTTATATAAAAATAAAACTTTTTATTAATTTAAGTATAATTACCTCCTTCGTCAGTATGTGCTATTATTGGTAAAGAAAATGGCCCCGAACCTTTACTATTAAAAGCTTGAACAATTATAGAATATTTTGTATATGGAGCTAATCCATTAATTGTAAATTCTTCGCCATATTGTGAATTAATTTCTACTGTTTTCAGAAAGTAACGCGAGATAGGTGATGCTGACGTGACAGAATTTTGTAAATAATCAATAGGTAAATACCCGACATGATAACCAAGTAAAAGTCCATTACAAGCTTCAGGAGGAGGAGGTTCCCACATAACAACAATTTCAGTCTTACTTTTAGTTTCAACTCGAATGTTTCGAGGAGACATATTGGGAGCTAAAAATAATATCCAAAATAAATATCTGTTATGAATCATAACCTCAAGTATTACACCTTCTTCTTGAGTGGTTGCTTGCATTTCATTACTTGGCTCACTATGACCAATTGCATTTTCAGCTATTATTCTAATATGGTAAGATGATGCTGGTTTCAAGCCATCAATAATTAAATTTTTTTGAGTACTAGAAGTTATAACTTTAGCCGGATTTTCTGTCCATAACGCTATAATATAATACATTGTTAATACTAATATTTCATATTTTTGATCATTTTACTACATACATGGTACCAGTTTGTATTGAACTATATAATTTAATATAATACTGTTTCCATTATATGGTTCATTCCATGATACTTCAATGGATCTACTTTGTTGATTTATTATTCTTATATCTTTCGGGCTTTCTGGAATTTCTAAACAAAAATTATTATGTTTTATTAAATACAATTTTTTTGAATTTTATTAAATTCAAAAATTTTTTACCTTCAATAATTAATTTAATAGACAATTCATCTATTCCGTAATAATTACTGGCAATACACTTTAATATACTAGTATCGTACCTATAAACTGGTGATATCAAGAGCTCCGAAATAATACCATTTTCATGAGATTGTTCTTTAATAGTGAATCTTAAAAATAAATTTTTGATCAAAATTCACATTAAAAATATAGGAAAATAGTCTAATTTAATAAAAAAGTATGTCGAATGAAAGATGTATATAAATACTACTTCTCATGAAAAAATTGTATTGATCCATACATTTTTTAAAAAGTTATAGCACTTTAAAGTAAAAAAAATGGTAGCACAGTGGGGTCGAGGCACAGTGTGGACGAGGCATAGATGGGACAAGTATAGATGATATCTGAAAGTGATTAAAATCACTATCATAAGAAACGCTTCGATGCAAATCTGTAGATAGTGTTTCCTTTAGAGAAATTGGTGAAATATTTTAAAAGCAACATGAACTCTTATTTCTTTAATTATATCCTGATTAGTAGTTCTTTGATTTTAAAATATAATATATGAATAAATACTAATTATAGTTTTTAAATTTAGTATGAAATTGTGAGGCCAGCTATGATGTATGGTTCATAGTGTTGGGCGGTTGATAAGAAAGTAGA